CTATTTTCAGCTCTTGGTTTTGGGTTTGCTTGTTCTCTCATCCTAAAAATAAAGAAAACTCTATGTGTTCAAGGCTTTTCTAACAATTATGGAAAACGAGTGAGAATGTTCTGTTTCATTTCATCGGAAAATGAGCTTCTGTGAAAAATAGACACATATCAGTTACAATCAGTTACTTTTTACTTTATCAGATAAGGGTTGTGGGCCAGACACCGTAAGTGGAGTACATGACTATACATTTATCAGACATGACCTTTTTCAGACATTCTCAATTAATATATTATTAAAATATATGAATACATTCTGTTTTGGTTCTAGGTTGCGGTATTTATTGGTTCGGTAAACCAATCTCAAATTACAATAACCATGAAATCGATTTCATATACACCAAATTATATGAAATCGATTACATTCTCGTAGATTGTATGCATAGTTATGTTATGATTAACATTTAAACTAGCCAAAATAAGCAATTTATAAATCTTTGAACTTTGAAACAAGTTTTTTCATAATACACATCATAGTTCTATGAAGAGTTCACGATGAGTAACCACATAAGGCATCGAACAGAACGTAAAAAAACGAAAACGAAATCTGATTACATGAACATGATGGGGCAACAAATTAAGTAGTACTTGTGAAAAGTTCAACTACATAATTACATATTTAATATAAGTAAAACTAGTTTTTTGGTTAAAATCAGAAATGTACAACTACTTGAGAGTGTGTATAACTGTCATACTACGTACAAAAACGTATCAAACCTCATATGAAGAAATGACATGTGTCCACGTGTTATTGGATATTAGCTATTGGCGGCGGCACGTGAGCGAATTCCACACGTGAGGGATGACCCCATTTTCTGCGTGTAATACTTACATAATATTATATTTCCCTTTTTCTCAGTTGTAATATAATTCAAATTTGAATTTCCCCCCAATACCCAAATTCAGCAAAATTCAAACTTCCCCCCACTTCCCCCCATTTTGAATTTCATTTCACATATTTCTATTCTGTCTCTCTCTCTTGGAACATTCCTCTCTCTCTTTCAAATTTGTGAACTTCCTTTGCTACAGCGACTATGGACCCGACCTACAGCGACGAGAAGAGAAACAAGAAGCTTATCGACCGTATTTACCACATAGCCGATGCAGAGTTTTGGATTCCAACAGTTCGTCCATGTGGTGGAGGAATCATCCAGGAGATTTCTGAAGATCCAGGAAAGAGATACTACACCTGCAAAGTGTATAAGGTTTGAATTACTTTAATTTTCTGGTTTTAGATTGATTTAAAAGTCCTGGGTTGAGTGTATAAGGTTTAAGTTTATGAATTGTTGTGTAGAACGACGGCTACCACTTTAGGGTAAAATGGGATCACGCTGTCGATAATGAGATTTCTAGGCTAAAATGTGAGATTAAGGACCTGCGCTCGAGGATTGCGAAAATGTCAAACCACTGATACAGTTCTTCAACAATCCCGTTGTTTAATGAATCCTTGTTTAATTCCCAGATTGTTTCATTCGCAGACTAAGAAGTTATCTTATCCTTAATTTCTGATAATTTAATTTTACCGAGTTATGGTTTGACAAGTACTCTTAGTTGGGCTATATTATACCAATTTGTACTACTTATTATAATTTCAAGAATTTGCACGTAGTTGGGCCGAATTATACCAATTAGTACCAGATTTTATGGGTTCTCAAAGTTACACGTAATTGGGCCGAATTATACCAATTAGTACCAGATTTTAAGGGTTTTCAAAGTTACACGTAGTTGGGCCAAATTATACCAAAAATTACCAGATTTTATGGATTCCCAAAGTTACACGTAGTTGGCCCGAATTATACCAAATAGTACCAGATTTTATAGTTTACCAAAGTTACACGTAGTTGGCCCGAATTATACCAAATAGTACCAGATTTTATGGGTTACCATAGTTACACGTAGTTGGGCCGAATTATACCAATTTTCACCAGAGATTTAAAATTCCTCAAGTTGAACGTAGTTGGGCCTTATTATACCAAATTGTACCAGAACTTATAATTTCTTAAATACATTTGCCATGGACGAATTAACCCCATGTAAACAATTATAACGAATTATATTATTTAGGGTTTCTTCATATTGTACGGTTATTTCACATATTAAAGAAATAGTTTTGTAATACTTACCTGAATTACAAGGCAATCTGAGTGGATACTTACTAAGATGGTGCAGGATGTGGTGGATGAAAAAAATAAACAACTTAGAAGGCTGGTGTTTGGATTTTTCCTCCAAATTTTCGCTCAGTCTCCTAAGTTGCTCATCTTCTCATCAACCACTTTCTGTACGATCTTAGGGTTTCATATCGAGAAGGATAAGTAAGCGGTTTTTTCTAAAAGGAAATGAAAGGTTGGGGTGATGAATGAGAAGGAGACTAGGGTATTTAAGGATAAGTGGGCGGTGGTTGGTGACGCCTGTACGCGCTACAATTATAATGTAAGACTGGTACAACTACCAAGCCTGGTAAATGATATCATTTATTATCATTAATGAAAATAAAATTAAAAAAATTATTCCAATTAATCATTAATGTTGAAAAAGTGAATAACAGAGATATCATTGCAAATACAAATTAAGTGAAAATATCAAAATAAAAAAAAAACAAAAGTACAAAATAAGAAAACAAAAACATATCTCAAGAAGATGCGGGCGTGCCATTTTGAGAGAGTTCATTTGATGAACAGACATTTATTTAAAATTAGGGTTTCTGACAAGTCGAGAATAAATAGATGTTACAATGAATATAATGAAATGAAAGAAATGAAATGAATAGTGGGGTATTAAAGGAAAATTGAGGCGTTGGTTATTATCATTAATCTATTTAAAATGGGATTATAAAATTCATTGAAACACGACTACTCGAAAAACAATTTATTCATTGAATCTAACTCATCCTCTCCTTGACTATATATATATATATATATATATATATATATATATATATTCCTGATCTTACCCTGGAAATCACATAAACCCTAAACGTCGTCATTCAAAAACACATAAACCCTAAAATAATCATCAATATCTTACTCGCTGATCTCAGACTCTTCATCAGATAAAAAACCCATCGTACACCTTAAAAGCAAGAAGGATGGGTATTTCATCTGATGAAGAGTCAGATCAGCGAGTCAGATCTTACCCTGGAGAAATGTCGTCCTTCAAAAACACATAAACCTGAAAATAATCATCAATCTCTTACTCACTGATCTCAGACTCTTCATCAGATGAAATACCCATCGTACTTACACCATAAAAGCAAGAAGGAAGGGTATTTCACTTGATGAAGAGTCAGATCAGCGAGTCAGAGTTTGGTCAGCGAGTTTGGTCACCTGATGTTGCAGACTGGAAAATACAAGGTTTAATCTTTGTTCAGGCAAGAAAAACATGATTACAAGCGTTGATTGCTCATGCTTATACTTGTAATCTTGTTTTTTTTTGCCTGAACAAAATTAGGCTTTGTAGGATGCAAAGACGATGTAGGTTTTTGCATTCAGTTTTTCACATTTGGTTTTTGGTTTTCAGTTTTTGATTTTAGAATTTTGGATATCTTCATTTGTAATTTTTGGTTTAACCTCATTTATTTTAAAATTAATTTTTAAAGAATAATTACTTTAAATAAGATAATAAATTCCTGTGATTTATGCTTATCCATTATGAATAAAAAAAGAGACGTCTGCTTGATGACGTCTTCACGCGTAACCAGTATAAATGGGGCTATAATTGAGTGCGGATTCTCGATGTAAAACTGGTCCAACTACCAAGTCTTATCAGATATTAAGGTTGCATATAGGTTATTAAAACGTCAACGTTACGAGACCCAAAAGTTTGTGAAATATTTCCATTAATCACAAAAAAACACATAATAATATTAATAACCAAATAAAAACATAATATAAACATACAGAAAACATAATAATAAGTTCAACGAAAACTAAAAAAAACATAAAAAAACACAATTATTTAGAGTCTTTTCTGCCATGGATGTTATGTTAACCATCCATGGCGTGGATCTTGGTGAAGCTACGTGCGAGTTCCTCGTAGCTTGCCCTGTCTTTCCGGTACATTACCGCAACCTCCTCCCTCACGACGTCGCCTTCTGCCACCAGCGGATGCAATAGCATCTGGGCCAGACTCATCAGCATCTGGGCCACAGATGTCGCGATACACCACGTATCAGGCATGAGCATCGGATGGAAGATGTTGCCACGATGGCTCACATTGGGGTGGAAGATGGGAGTCCGGAAGTGTACCTTCGGTGGCTTCCAGGGGAAATCCGTAGGGAAGATGATGCGGAGAAAGAAGACACCCCCTTCGTAGGGAGTTCCCGGTGGACCGGTGATGGTCGTCGTCCACACATACACGTCCTCCGCCTCCACCCAGGCGGAGTATATGGGCGACGGGTTTCGCTGGAGGTCAAGCAGGTATCGGCGCATCTAGTACTCAGGACGTGTTGATGACGCCGGACGAATGTTGTGAGCAAAAGTGGGTCATTTGGGGAAATTAGGGTTTTGAGTTAGCAAAGGGAAAGATAAGATTTATTTTTTTAACGTTTAGGGAATGTTTCTTTCTCTGCGATGGTGTTATGAGAAGGCGAGGGTGTGGTATTTATTGAAGAAGAAGTTAAGTGGTGGCATGCATTAATGGCGTCGACTCACTATGGAATTTCTCTCACTATACAAATGTTGTCTTTCTCTATTCCCACACGCGTCGTTTCCTTTTAGATAACATAATTTAATATCGACAAGATAGTTACCCGACAACCAAAGAGGAACAATATTTAAAATCAACTAATACCCAACTGAAATCCTCTAATTAAATATAAACCGATTCTTATAACAATAACAAACCAATATCCTCAAAATAAATTTAAATTTTGCAAACAACACGATCCCACAATTTAGTTCTTAAAAAAACCATAAGTTCAAATCGACAGCATGAAAGAGTGAACATCTGGGACTGTTAATTCCTACTCTTCTTCTTCTTCTTCTCATGCTGCACCTCCCCTTCCTCGACTGAAACACCAGATTGTTCCTACATGGTAACAAAGATATGTGGTTTATACTATAGTTCTACCTATTAGTATCAACTAATACCTATTACTACCAAATAATACCTATAAGTACCAAATAATACCTGAATTCCAGACCGTTGTCTGGTCAAATACTTTCTGAAAACTGCTGCCTTCGTCTTCGTCTTCTTCTTTTCCTTCTTTGCAACCTCTCCTCCAACTTCTTCATTCTCTTCAACTTTTTCTTCATTCTCTTCTTCTCCTTTTTTTCCTTCTTCTCCCTCTTCTCCTTCATCACCTTGTTCTTCTCCTTCATCACTTTGTTCTTCTCCTTCATCACCTTGTTCTTCTCCTTCCTTCTCTTCTCTAAGACATTCACTTCGAATTGCCTCTTTCACATAAGATTCAACGGACTTCAATCTAATATCCATGCCATTGATTTGGTCTCTCATTAGTTGGAACTGCTCATCCATACTCTTCTTCAACCCTTGAATCTGGTCCACAATCCCACTCGACGCTGGAGATTTAGAGGAGGCATTCTTCGCTGGTTCAACTCGGTTTTTTTCATCGTCCAAGCTCATATCCTTCCAGAATATCGGCTTCCCATCATCAATTATACGACTCGTCCAAGTATCAGGAATTGTATCACTGTTATCTGGGTCTTCATACCTTTCCATGATACCAGCTAACATATCTTCATCATCAGCAGATAGTTCCAAGATACTCTGGATATCTTTGGTATTACCGAGTGTTTCGTAGAGGTCCGACAAAGGAAATCCTTTGAGAGTGAATGGTCTGAACTTTGTCTTACACATCCGAGGACACTCTATGTCTGCTCCTTTAGCTTCTTCTCTGTATGTGTCCTTCAGACAAGGTATTGCTTCAAAAGGTAGCAACTCCAAGGGAGTAACAAAGCCAGGAAATTTCCAAGAATCGGTTTCGACGACCCCATTGAAGTGCCTCAATGTATGTTCAATTTCCTTTAGATTCGCATCAAATGAATACCTCCCCCAAGGAAATGTTCTACACGCATCAAGATCTTCTACCATCCTCAAGAATAAAGGGTCTACCGAGGGAGCTCCCTTCCCAGTCTTAGCCTTACCACCTAACACGCTTGCTAGAAAGTACAAAACACACATTCTTAAGCGATCAGGACCACCACACATCTTTTCAAGCTTCTCTTTAACAACAGCAAGTGCAGGGACAGTTCTTTTCTTAAAATACTTCTCCTTAAAATCACTACTGCCCATCTTCTCATAATTCTTTGGATAATCATGGCAGTCTAATCCAGATATGAGTGCATGTTCCTTAAGCGAAAACCGAATTGGAACTCCATTCACAACAAACCAACACTCTCTCCTCTTGTTTGTCTTTGCTGTGCGTAGAAGTAGCATCCACAACCCCTGAGTCTTATGGGTTGTATCCAAATACATGACCTTGTGCATATGCCAGAAGTGCTTGAATTGAGGATGCTCACTAAACCATCTTAGCTCCTCGGGTCTCAGTCTCAGTGACGGCGACTCCAGATTCTCCACTGCTTTGTGGATCCAACACCAAGTACCTAACTTTATTGCTTTGTTGTACTGATTTGGACTAAAATACATACTCAGCGGTTGCATTGGTGGCTGGTTTTCCTCATCATTACGCGTTTGCTCATTACGCGTTTGCTCCTCAACCTCACTACGAAAGCGTAATGGCTCCCACAGCGTTAATTGAAGTGACTCACTATCTCCTCCAAATGATGTCATTACAGTATTTCTATGAAGTTAAGACACATCTAGTTATCACCGGGATCCACACATCAATCAAATTTTGCAGGTAATACTAATTTCACTTCTTCGTTCCTAAACCCAGGTATCAGACACTACAGATTCAATCGTAAGCCTTCTGCCTAAGATAAGCCTACAGTAAAATGGTAAAAACGAAGAAGAACGAAGAACGAACCTGATGCGAATTTGAAGAGAATAAATGGAATTGTGACCAGTTTAGAAAGAAATCGAAGACTATTTGTAGTATCCTCGTAGTTGTACCTAATGGAACGAATTTCCCAGAAATGATTTACAATCGAATTTATGGTTATTCAAATTTAGACCCGAAATCGGATCCGGTATAGCTAACTGGGTGTGGATATTTGATCCATGACTGGTTGGATCAGTAAATATTATGATGTTTTAAGAGTGACTAAGTATTTTCTCGTTTTTCCGATTTAAAAATAATTCAAAAATAAATTAAATTTTATAACGTTGTATATAAGAATAAATTGCTTGATCAACTGGGTATATGAGGGTTTGATTCCTCGAATTCCCTAGTTTTCTATATCTTTAGTCAAATTAGCTGAACGAACCAAAACCAAGAACCGTGTGATTTGTAATAGTTAATACTCAATATAGTGCAAGAATTTAACATTCGTATCTCAACGTAGTTACGGCAGATAGAAGACGCCGTTAACAAGAACTGAGACACCGTCAAAACACCTCTTAACGACGCGTCGAAATGTAGTTAACGGAGTTTACACAGCTCCTTTGCAAACTAGTTCTCTCTCCATATATATATATATAAACCTTCTCTTCACCTCTATGATCTCTCTCTCTCTCTCTCCATTTATATCACAGGGGAGAGAAAAAGCTTCAGCAATAGGCAACAATGGTCATCGCTAGAAGATTGTTCACAATCTCAGCAACTCTGATCATAATTCTAACACTCTTTGTCCATGTAAATGCGTAAGTTCAAAAGATTCTCAAATCTCACTTTTTTTGTCTATCGTTCGGACAAAGACCTTACGTTGGTCTCCGTGTATTACAATGCAGAGTTCAAGAAACAGAGGATTTGAAAAATGATAGCTCAAGAAATACATCAATGGCGGATTCGTAAGTTCTCACACTTCTTCTTTTTGATCTCAGCTGCTCAGATTGGATCTTTGATAACTAACGATGCCGTTTTGCATGCTCTAATTTGTTTTCAGTGAATGGTATGAACATGCCGTTAAAGACCCAGAAGAAATAGCAGCCTTGGTCGATATGTGAGTCTCTCTCACTATATTATATATTAAATAGGACAAAATACACTTTATTAGATATATTTCGTATTAGTAACGTTTTCAGATAGTCAAACTCAAACCAAGTGATGCTTTAACTTAAATAAACCTATGTGTAGGCCAAGAAACATTTTTATTTACACATTCACAATTCTTTGTTTATGTAAAAAGTTAGCTTACGTTCTAGTTTCTACTGATTTTGTTTTCTTTAAGAACATTTTTTTATGACCACAATAAATTTATTGAGGTAAATATGCTTCTATTTTCATCATTCTTGTGTTGTGAGGAAAATAAATAAATAAATAAACATGTGAAATCCATCTGACAAAGAACAGAAATTTTATTGAATGAAGCCACACACCGTGATTCCCATTTATACTTCACTATTTCCACTCTTAAGATCCACCGACGCAATTGTATTAATGTTTACATATATTCTGCATGTATATGTAATATCATGTAGAGGATGTATTATTTTATAGACTTGATAAAGAAAATGGTAATAACTTTTGACATACAATAGAAAATCAAAAACTAACTAAGATAGTGGTTGAGGGTTAAATGTCATTTTTTGGCAGTTGGCAGAGTTCAAATATTTCGACCTAGAATACCCCGATTACACAAAATAAATACATTAAAAACTATATAAATTAATAATATTGAAATTTTGATATTTTATTAATTTATATATTTTAAAGAAAAAGAACTATTTTTTATTTTTATTAATTTTTAAAAAAATAATATAATTTTTTAAAATTCTTTCTAAAATTTAAGATGAGTTTCAAAAACATTTTAATTTAAAATGAATAAAAAACATCACTATATTCGTGTTTTAGTATATTATATCATGTATATGTTTAAATCAGATTTTATTTATAGTAATTATTAATTTATGATATTGATGAGACCATATATTTACATAAAAGTTTTGTTAAAGTTATTATTTTCTTATCTTATCGAATTTTGTCATATTTTGAACTAGCCTAACTCGGATCTATAAAAAATTATGAATTTCTAATATTTATTAATTTATTGAATATTAATTTATAAAGTTTTTACTGTAAATAAAAGAAAATATAACACTATGCTTTTTTTGCGTAACATCAGATGTCTAACGACTAACATATACATGAAAAAATAACATATTATGGACAAAATAACAGATCATACGTCCCTCAGTTATTTATTTTTTTGGTTAAATACGTCCCTTAGTTATGAATTGAAAATTCATATCATTCAAATTTGTTTGATGTCATATGAATGTTTGTTTTTCTAAAAACTTCTGATAAAGTTATTTTCTTTCATACTTCTTAGACAGAAATCTGAATCTGGTACCATAGGTTCGGCATTTAATTACGGAATTATAGAGAAATGACCGATGACCCCAATGTTCCCATATGAGATTGTATCCCATGAAATATAGAATTCCTTATACAAGACGACAATAAATTACCCACGTGGACCCAGTTCACCTCATCAAATTAAATACTTTAATGCTTCTTGCATTCTTCTACTCTAGCTTGACTTTGTAGATGGTCTAATATTCAATCCGTTTCATAAAATATTTGATACATAAAGAATGTCGCTTTAAATTTTTAAATCAAATTTGACAAAATATTTTCTGCTAACATCAAATCAAATATTCAAATTGTAAAAAAATCCAAAGACTCACTTTCCAAATATTTAGTTTAATTCAGTACTAAGAGTGGTCAATTCGACAAAACCAATCCAAACCAAACCAAAATATATTGATATGGTTTGGTTTTGTTTGCATCATATAAAACTAAGATATCATTTTATGAAAACCGTAGGATTTAAATATAGTTCGGTAATAAACCGATAAAACCGAATAAACTTAAAAAATTGCATTATTAAAATATAATAATATTTTTTATTTGTGTGAAATATGTCAAAATAATATTTAGTAAAAAGTATAGAGAGTAGTATATCTGATATCAAAACGAGTACAATGGTTTAGCAACGAGTATTTCAGATTTTATAATCATATATTCCATCTGTTTAATAGTATAAGATTGTTTGTGTAAAAGCACATAAATTAGGAAATATATTGGTCTTTAAAAAACTATGATTTACTATTATTTAACTTAAAACAACTTAACCATTCATAAAATAGACTGCTTAATTAAAATGGTCATAAAACATCAGTTTTACAATTTGCATTGAAATGTGAAGATACTTTATATTTTGAAACAAAATGGAAATTCTAAAACATCATATATTATAGAATAGAGGAAATATATTCGAATAGTTCAAGTAATATTTGCGAAAAAAAATCATTAATAGATAAAAAAATAGAAACATTTGTAAACTTTTGTTCTCCAAGTTCTTTGAATTCTTTAAGTTCAAGTCAATCTGATAAAATCTGTAAAATTTTGTTCTCTTTTTGTCGTTTAGCTAAATCTTGTTGGTGAGAAAAATGCAGGAGCATACGGAACAGTACAGAGCGGAGGAGATTGGGCTACTTCTCCTGCGCAACCGGAAACCCAATCGACGATTGTTGGCGATGCGATCGAAAATGGCATCGCCGGAGAAAGCGTCTAGCGACTTGCGCAATCGGATTCGGTCGAAACGCTGTCGGAGGACGCGACGGACGTTACTACATCGTAACCGATCCATCGGATCACGACCCGGTTAAACCTAAACCCGGTACGCTCCGTTACGCCGTGATTCAAGATAGACCGCTCTGGATCGTATTCAAGCGCGATATGGTCATCACTCTAAGCCAAGAGCTGGTCATGAACAGCTTCAAAACGATCGATGGTCGTGGCGTCAATGTTCACATCGCTGGTGGAGCTTGTATCACGATTCAGTACGTGACCAACATAATCATTCATGGGATTAATATTCATGATTGTAAGCGAACCGGTAACGCAATGGTTCGGAGCTCGGAGTCGCATTATGGTTGGAGAACGATGGCGGATGGTGATGGGATCTCGATTTTTGGGTCGAGTCATATTTGGATCGATCATAATTCTCTATCGAGTTGTGCTGATGGGTTGATTGATGCGATTATGGGGTCTACGGCTATTACCATTTCAAATAACTATCTCACTCACCATAATGAGGTTAATATTTCATTCTTCATTGGTTTTATTGCTTTTATGTTCACGAAATTGTTAAATAAGATGAAAAATTTTAGATGGATTCCGGTAGGAAAGTCCACTTTAGTTTAGGACGGGATATAGTAGGTAAGGAACAAGAACGGATAATTCCCGGATAATGAATTGTATTATCCAAAATAGACCTAATACAAAATGGGACATGAAATTCGGGTTCAGGAAATGCTGATTGATAAAATCAGTACCCGAACTCTCAATTTTTGAATAAGAGTCAACTTCGTAACAAGTCATTCAGGTAGTTTGGAAAAAAATTGAGAAATTTTTGAATATTTTTTAGAAAACTTTCAATAGTTTTTGGAATTTTGGAAATTTTAACAAGTATTTATTGTAATTTTGATTTTTTTTTGAGAAATTTTGAATAATGTTTTAAATATTTTTCGATTGTTTTTTGAATTTTAATATCCAAATGGGTAATTTGGTTCCTCATTTCATATCCGATCTGTTATCTTATTTATTACAGAAAATTTGATTGTCCCAACAGGTAATTATTTGAACGGGAACGCTTATAGAATGGAAAAATCTGGGACGGGTGAGGAAACTCGTCCCGGAATAGACAGCCTTTCATATGCCAAATTCGGAGATAAATTTTATACAACTTAAGTCATATAGTAAAAGGATTATTAGTATTCATAGAGAACTTATGAATGGTAATCAATTTTAGCAGTCAATTAACTCGGTTTGGGCAAATGAGTTGTGCTAAAAATGGTAGCAGGTTCCTTCATCTAAGGTTTTGGCTTTTTCTTTTTTTTTTCCAGATCAAGTTTTCCAAAATGCAATCTGATTAGCTTAAAACTCACATGAATACAGATCAAGAAAGTTTTTTTTTTTTTAACCTTTTCTTGGTCATAATGCAGGCTATTTTGTTGGGGCATACCGATTCCTACACAAGGGACAAAATGATGCAAGTGACTATTGCATACAACCATTTTGGGGAGGGTCTTGTACAGAGAATGCCAAGGTGCTTCATCTTTGGTTTCCTCCTATGGTCAAATTAGTATATTGATTCGTTAGTATTCGATTTGTTTCATCAAGAGAATGTTTGGTGTTATTTCAGGTGCAGGCATGGATACTTCCATGTGGTAAACAACGATTACACTCACTGGGAAATGTATGCAATTGGTGGAAGTGCTAACCCTACCATCAACAGTCAAGGAAACCGGTTCCTTGCCTCGGGAAACCGTTTTGCTAAGGAGGTGACAAAGAGGGTAGGTGCAGGGGAAGGAGAATGGAACCAATGGAACTGGAGATCACAAGGAGACTTAATGCTCAATGGTGCCTACTTCACTGCATCTGGAGCTGAAGCTTCTGCAAGTTATGCTAGAGCCTCTAGTTTGGCTGCTAAATCATCTTCCCTTGTAGGTATGCTTACCTATAGCTCCGGTGCCCTCAAATGCAGGATTGGTACGCTTTGTTAATCATTTGTATAACCTCAAAACCAAAGACGAACACATAGAGAAAATATTTGACATTGGGAAGAAAGAAAAAAAACTCATTTTTCTTAGTTCCCATGTTGACTCCAAGTTATAGTATAGTATTGCTCTCTTCTGTGTATGTACAATTAGAGCGCTTAAAATCGAAAATCACTACTTTTATATGCTTTCATGCTAATTGGACTCTAAGGAATAAATCAAATCAGATAGAATGGTTTTATTATGAAACAGATAGTCTCTACCAAGTGAGGATTACAACAAACATAAAAACTAACAAAGCTCTGTTACAAAGATTGTATTTTTAAAATGGGGTTTCGGCTTCACTTCTTGTTTCATTAGGGCTATACAAAGCCGATCTATTTCTAGGCCTGTTCTCTTCCAACTGCCTCACAACCTCCTCCATTGTTGGTCTAACCGAAGGCACAGGAGCACAACATCCCATGGCCAGCTTCAATGCCTGAACCAAACCGTCTTCCATAGGACTCCTTATCCCTTTCAGAACTTCCAAGTCGAATACCTCCATTGTTGTTTCCTCCAAAACGGCGATTTTAACCAATGAAGGTAAATCCACAAACTCGTTGTTCCTTCCGCTTTTTCCTGGTTTCTTTCCCATCAAAATCTCCAGTAGAAGGATCCCAAACGCAAAGACATCGGTTCTTGGATTGCACTTCTTCATCTTGTGGAGTTCTGCTGCTTTGTAGCCATCAGATTTGGCCTGTGACATGACATCATCAGCTACGGCTTGTACCATTAACTTGTCAAGACCAAACTCAGTGAGTCTTGCCACGAAAAAGTCATCAACGAGAACGTTCCCTGATCTAACATTTCCATGGACTATAGGAACTTCTTGTCCAGTGTGAAGATAAGCCAATCCCCGAGCTATTCCCAGCGCAATCTTGTGTCTCCTAGCCCAATTCAGAACCGGTTTTCCTGGTTTACTTTCTGCAAACGAAAAAAAACCAATCAAGTACATTATTACAATACTCGCATTCTAGATCAGTCAAAAGAAGTTGGAGGAAAAAAAAAAATGTAATACCATGCAACAAATCATGAAGGTTTCTGTTGGGAAGATAGTCGTAAATGAGAAGTTTTTCTCCTCTTTTCCCTTGATAGAAAGCCCTCAACGGAACCAAATTCTCATGACGAATACGTCCCAGTTGCTTTATTACAGGCAAACCAGAACTTCTATCCTTGCAGCTTCCTTCTCTCAATAGCCTCAACGCAATGGTTCCTCCATCACTAAGCTTCGCCTTATAAACAGTACCATAACTCGTTTTCTCCATTACTTGACCGGTCGCATTCAAAACATCTTCTAGAGTCAGATTCTCTCCGCCTTGAAACACAACCAACTTACCATCACCAATTTCTTCTTCATCCTCACCTTCTTCCATATCATATTCGCTCTCTATACTATTCTTTCTCTTCTTGTTCTGCATATACCCGATTAATAGCGAGGCCGTGACCACAACCCCAGTCATTAAACCTATCACAAGACCAGCAACAGCACTTGCTCTCAACTTAGAGGAACCTAGACATGGCTTTAAAGGTAACCCACAAAGGCTTGGACTGTTTCCTTCAAAGGCTTCTGAACCAAACTTTGATCCACCAAAAACGGGCAATACCCCAGTGAAGTTATTCTGAGAAAGGTTGAGTTTTTCGAGTTTTAATAGAGTCAAGCCATCAGGAACAGAACCATCAAACATGTTACTTGACAAATCAAGCTCTTTTAGACCTTTAAACTTGGTTATAAACTCAGGGAAACCACCAGAAAACTTATTTCCACCAAGATCAAGAACTTGCAGATTACTACAGGTGGAATCTGGCAAAGCAGGCTCAGGGAAGTGACCAGTAAACGAATTTTCATGACTTCTAAAGGAGGAAAGCTTATCACAGAGGTTCCAAATCGATGGAGGCAAAACCCCAGCTAATCTATTACCGCTCAAATCAATTTCGGAGAGTGAAGAAGCGTAACCAAGCTCTAAAGGGATTGAACCGGTTAAGGAATTGATGTTGAGGAACAGATTTTGGAGCAGAGAGAACTCACCAATCTCTCTGGGAAGTGAACCAGTGAGATTTGCAGAAGGGAGCTGAAGAGAGAGAAGGTGAAGAGTGGAGTCTTTGAAGAGAGAGATGTTGGTCCATTGTGGTGAAGAGAAGTCGGTGCAATGGAGAGGAGACCCATTTGAAAATACCCATTTTACTCCTCTCCATTGACAAACTGGAACAGAGGAGTTCCACGAAGACAGCAGTAAATTCTCGCTGTTACCTTGTAGTGAAGGCTTGACCTTTTCTAGTAAAAGCTTCACATCAGAGGAAGATGATGAACTGGTACCAAGAATCACAGAGAAGAAGAAGAAAATGTGGAGAAGTTTCAAGGCGGCCATATATCACTACCAAGTGAGAGAGAGTGAGAGAGAGTGAGGGAGAGAGGAAAAGGCAATGGCTTTGGAGTTTTCAGTAGAGAGTGAGACCAAGTTTCATTTTTTTTTTAAGCTGGTAGTGAGTGTTGACCCCATTTGTAAGTACTTTGGTCAAACATTTCTACAGCTATGGTTCAATTTCCTACAATTCTGGTTTTCACCGTTGGATGTAGCTAATGATATCACATTTCAAAAAAAAAAAAAAATTGGAGTCTTTAATGAGAAAGTAAGACGATCCAACTGCTAAGACTCAAACGGAAACAACGATGTTAATTTTTTTTTTGTTGGTGTTTTCAATCATTAAAATTATCAGCACGCTCAAAATTTGGAATAAGAGATTTCATCTGAAATATAGATTAGCTTATTCCAAAGTGGCCGACAAAAAAAAAAGTTAGTCCAAACTGATATCTTTTATGAACTGCTGATTCATGGGATCTCTCATACTCCTTCAATTTATACCGTTAATGAGTTGTAATAGTCATGTAATAGTGAATCAACGGTGGATGATGGAGAAGGTGTAGAATCTTAGAGAGCTCCGGTTTCTAGAAGACAAAATGTCGAAAGAAGGGACCTATTAAAGCCAAAGTTTGGAAAAGAGGAAAAGGCAAATAAACATGTTGTGATGATGGGTAAATGTGCCACATTTTGAGCTTTAGTTTTGTAATTGACCATTTTAAAATTTGAGACGATCCTATTTCCACTATATTCTTTTGGAGAAAAGAACAAAATTGTATCTTGATTAACTCAAAACTCTAGAAATAATTCCGTTTAAGAAAAATAATAATAATATTGTTACTGATTTGAGACTTGAGTTATCGAGTTATCTATATTATTATTTATGAGGTTAAAAATCATATTTATTATCACTTCAGCAATTGTTCTATGTAACATTAAAAAATATATTATGTGTCATTTTAATTTGTTTTGAGAAATCTATCATTAATTATACGTGTACAAACCTGTGACATGAATTTTTCTTCGATAATAGTTCAGCGAGTTTGTTCATGGGCCAGCGATTTTGTTCTTGATCATAGCCATCGATTTTGGTAGTGAGACACTGACATTGAAACCCTAAATCCTAAACCCTAAAGCATATATCCTACTATATATACATGTTATCGCCTACATATTTTATACATACAACAACCATCTTCTAAGATCTAGCAACTTTTACAAAACTTGTCCATCTCTTTTTCACAAATACATCTTTTGTATATCCCGATCTGGTTTAAATTATATTGTTTGTTGGTTGTTCTTCCATGTTAATTTTTAATCATTTTATTCTGATCGAGATTCTTTTATGCTAACCGGTCAAATATCTATACTTTTCTCTATCGTGTTCTATATTACTATGCATCACAGCTATCTTATTTTTTAGCTCCTGTTTTACTTTCTATGAGATTGGTCATCGAAATATCATATTTGTGTTTTTTGTTTTGCTTTCTAATTCTATATATAAAATTTCACTACAAGAAAACAATCGTTTTCCAACGGCCCATTACGACGGTTTTTAAATCGTCGCAACATTACAACGCGTTTACGACGATCTTACGTCGAATTTCAAAACCGTCGTAAAACCGTCGTATAACAAAATCGTCGTAAACTCGACGTACAATTTACGACGAATTACGACGATTGTACATCGATAACAAGAGATTTGCTAGTAAATGTAAAATCGTCGTAAATTCGATGCAAAATTACGACGAATATACGACGACTTCATTTCGATGTACATATTACGACGATTTTACGTCGAAAAAGAAGTTAGGTGAAAAACATTTAAAACATGTTTACCTAACAATTGTAGATGAAAAATTTTATCGCAAAATCGTCGTAAACTCGTCGTAATATTATTGTTGAATGTAAAACCGTCGTAAAAAGTCGTCGTAAAAGCATTGTAAAGCCCGAAATTTTCCTATAAATAGATCTTCATTCATTCATTCAATCACAACACATCATCATTCAAACATAAGAGCATCTTCATCTTGGAGACCCATTCTAGGTCTCTTAAATTTTAGTATAGTGTTGTAAATCCTTATATATTGGGTTGTCCATTGCTGGAAACCCGAATTAAGAGTTATATTACTTTGAAAAAAAGAAGTAATAATATTATAAGGTTAATTTACTCCATTCACGTGGCTAGACGTGACACAAGAGACTACCTCCTTTATTGTCTAATCAATAAAAAGAGATAGTATTGTGAGTTTATTTTCAAGATGTCTATATACGAGCTAAGAAGTTGAATGTATATGCGTAAAGATTCAGATGGGGCGTTGACAGAAGAGTTCAAGAACGGGTTAGAAATATTTATGTATCAGGCTACAAATGTGGAGAGAACGAAAGATAGTGGGAAGATGTTTTGTCCTTGTTTGAAATGCAAGAATACGAGGTATACACTAACCAAAACCGTGTGGACGCATTTATTAAATAGAGGGTTTATGCCGCAATATTTTGTTTGGTATCTACATGGAGAAAGATATGGCAGTAATACTCATGGGAATGCTGGTAGTAGTAGTAATTATCAAAGTCATGTTGATATTGATGAATCGAATTATGGTCATCAGCCTAATCAGTATCAATATGACCAAAGTGTAGATCATGATAGGATGCACGAAATGGTGACTGATGCATTTCATGAAACGCACACGGGTAATGCTGTTGAGGAACCTAATGTAGATGCCAAACGATTTCATGATTTGTTAGACAATGCTAATCAGCCAATCTACGAAGGATGTAGAGAAGGCTTGTCTAAATTATCGTTGGCAGCTAGGATGATGTCAATTAAAACAGATCATAACCTGGCTGAGGTTTGCATGGATGATTGGGCTGATCTTCTGAAGGAGTATCTACCGGAGGATAACTTGGCAGCGGGAACATACTATGAAATTCAGAAGTTGATTTTTAGTCTTGGTCTACGTTCTGAGATGATAGATGTATGTGTTGACAATTGTATGATTTTTTGGAAAGATGATGATCAGCTGGAGCAATGTCGATTTTGCCAAAAACCAAGATACAGGCCGCAAACTGTGGGCGTAAAAGGATACCGTACCAACGTATGTGGTATCTCCCTATAACTGATATGTTAAAATTGCTTTATCAATCTGAAAGGACAGCTGCATCAATGAGATGGCATGCAGAACATACACAAGTGGATGGAGAAGTTGTTCATCCATCAGATGCAAAGGCATGGAAACACTTCAATATGGTATACCCAGATTTTGCTAAGTTCAAACGGAATGTCTATCTTGGTCTGTGCACTGATGGTTTTAGTCCATTTGGTATGTCTGGTAGACAATATTCATTATGGCCAGTAATCCTAACTCCTTATAACGTTCCTCCAGATTTGTGCATGCAAAGGGAACTTCTTTTCCTAAGTATTTTGGTTCCAGGTCCAAATCATCCGAAGCGAGCTCTCGATGTATTTCTTCAGCCACTCATACATGATTGAATCAGTTATGGTATACTGGCGTTCGTACATATGACTGTTCTACGAGGAAAAATTTTACTATGCGGGCTGTGCTTATGTGGACAATAAGCGGTTTCCCCGCTTATGGTATGCTATCAGGATGGACTACACATGGGAGGCTATCTTGTCCTTATTGTCTTCATCGAACTGATGCGTTTCAGCTAAAACATGGTAGAAAAACTTGTTGGTTTGATTGTCACCGGAGGTTTTTGCCGGATAACCATCCATATCAGAGGAACAAGAGGTTATTTATGAAGAACAAAAGTGTACATGTCCCTCCACCCGTTAATTTAACAAGAGCTGATATACAGACGCAAATCGATCATTGGAGGGCAGAAGAAACAGTAACTCATGGGGGAAACTGGCACACTCCTGCAAATATGCATGAAGGTTATAGAGTTCATCATAATTGGCACAAGAAAAGTATCTTTTGGCAACTACCTTATTGGAAAGATCATCTGCTCAGACACAATCTTGATGTCATGCACATTGAAAAAAACTTTTTTGATAACATCATGCATACAGTTATGAACGTAGCGGGAAGAACAAAAGACAATGGTAAGTCAAGATTGGACTTGCCTGATTTATGCAACAGAAGTGAGTTGCATCTACTGAGAAACGGGAAAGCACCAGTTCCTGTATTTCGGTTGAGTGCAGATCAAAAGTCAGCATTGTTCAGATGGGTTTCTTCTGACGTTAAATTTCTTGATGGGTATGTCTCTAATCTTTCCAAATCTGTTGAGAAGGGGGTAAAGTTTACTGGGATAAAAAGCCATGACTGTCATGTGTTTATGCAACGATTATTTCCATTTGCATTTGCTGAACTCTTGCCCAAAAACGTCCATGAAGCTATTGGAGGCATTGGTGCTTTTTTCGGGATCTTAGTACACGAACATTATCAGTTGATGTAATATCACAACTGGCATTGAATATTCCAATCTTGTTGTGCAATTTAGAAAAGATCTTCCCACCATCATTTTTTGATGTTATGGAACATCTTCCTGTTCATCTCCCACAAGAAGCAGATCTCGGTGGACTCGTTCAGTACAGGTGGATGTATCCGTTCGAGCGTTTCATGAAGCATCTTAAAGGTAAAGCCAAAAACCTAGCTAAAGTGGAAGGCTCAATTGTGGCGGGAAGCTTGACGCAAGAGACTTCACACTTCACTTCATACTATTTTGCACCGAAAGTACGAACACGCAAAAGAGCTACTCGTCGATATGATGATGGAGGAGTTGGCCATACATATGCCGTTGAATGTGTACCTGACATATTCTCGCCGATCGGACGTCTTACTGGAAAACTAAAAGATGTTTGGTGGTCCAATGAAAAAGATTATCACAATGCACATACGTATATCCTGTTAAATTGTGAAGAGTTGTCATCGTATGAAAAGTACTTTTTTAATTAATAATATCTTTATATGAGTTGTCAGTATTAATAACTATTTGTTGTTTTTCTCAGCACATTTGTTGATGAGGTTAAAGAATGCATATCTGGGGTTTCTGAAACTGAAATCAATGATCGTAAAGATC